GTTGTCTGGTGTTTCCGCCAGTTTGGTCTGTAGAAAGTCTGTAAAAAAGGAGATAAGAACGCTTAATAATATTTTTTTTTTGTTTTAATTTAAACCATTAAAAACTTAAATTAACTCTGGGGCGCTGGACCGATTACGCGCTCTGATTTTTTAATACCACTATAAGGGGCGGCCGCGACAGATGAGTGTGAGTGGCTTGTGGATATAGTAGTAGCATCCTGAAAAGAATTATCATTGCTTGATTGTAAATTTTCACAAAATGATATCCAAAATTGACTTTGTGCTTTCCTGACGACGCTTTAACGACTTCATACAATCTCTTGGATATACTTATAAGGCGATTACATTCGTATTAATTATTTTCTTTTTTAATCCAACTCATACAAAACTGAATTCTTAAACAAAGAGAATTCTCTCTTTGCACATATATGTATACACGCCCAGTTATATATTTATATTTCATGATTGCGAAAATGGGCACGTGTAATTGCAACCCTGAACAAGGTTTTTTTTTTATTTTATTTTTGTGTTCATAAGTAACGCCCATAACCTAAAACTAACACAAATTTCATGTAATTTGCATAAATGCAATCCAAGTCCAAAGGTCTAACCGATGTAAAGCCAAACAAATTGCAGTTATAAATAAAAGCATACTCCATACATACGTGTATATATATATGTGTACATGTATGTATATATTGTATAAATGTGCATTTACTAACTACAAAATTCTTGTAAGCAAAATTTATGTATGCTAATTTACATAGAAAACAAATACAGTGACGACCAACAAGATAAGAACACCTCAACACCTCCACCTCCTGAATACATATTCTTAGCCAAAAGAAAGAGGCTAGAGGGGAGACCGAGTTCTAGATAATCGCACGATAATAATATAAGTGCAGTTTGGTGCATTCATCAGTTTTCAAAAGGTGTGTGGCCGAGATCGTGAAGAAAGTGAATTCAAAGACCCGGGAAAAATCGTTAGATCACACCTAGAACCGTTACAAAATATTCCGTATTTGTGTCCATGAGTCTTGTTATCCATGGGACAGACAACTCCGTACATGCTGCCCTTAAGCCTTAAAAGCATGAAAATGTAACCGAACTATCATCATAAGCACAGAAAACCGATACTTGTGTAGGTATATATACTAATTTACCAATATTATTTTAAATACGAGTACTTAAAAGGAACAACAACGAAAAGAAATCACATGAAAATTTCAACTTTCTCGAAATGCCAAAATCGCAATAACAATAACAATGGAAATTCAAATAAAATTGCCTATTGCCTTTATGAAATCTTCAAAATTCACTTTGACATTGCTATTATTATATATATATATATTTATGTTAGTATTGTTTTGTGTTATGTAAATGTGTCTAGGTGCTTTCACTTCGGTTGACGTTGGCACTGCTGTACTGCTGCCAATCAAGTCGGTTGAGTTAAGTCAAATTGTTTGATTGGCTGCGCCGCTGCGCTCTATGGCTTCGATGAAGACCATTCAAAATTATTGACCAAAATCTTAAAACATTTATATACGAGTGTATACCCAGTTACATGCAAGTATATACTTACCTGGGTAGGTATGTATGTATGTTTAACACTTGAGATTTCAGACTGCAGACTGAGGCAGCAGAGGCCGCCGCTTGCGGTTAATCGTAGCAGTAATTTGCCAAAGCAATAACAATCACAGCGTGGAAAGTGCTAGAACATTGTATAATAATAATAATAATAAAAATAGATAATGCGAAGGAGGATGGTGGTATTAACGGCAATACTTGGTTTCCGGCCGATGGATTTTTATTAGGAGTGTTTATTTTATATCAGAAATACACTCGGAGGTGTTGACATTCCCTCCGAGTGGCGACCGGAATCAGAAACAATCACTTTCACATTTCGATTGTTGGTCGGATTAGGACCTGAACCCAGAGTTCTCGAGTGAGAGTGCATAATGCAAATTTTAAATATCTGATATCTTGAACTTTAAGCCGTATGAACTCTTCATGTGTGCGAAGATACCAAATTCAAAAAAAGTAGCGTGTGCATATTCCTTTCTCAAGGACGTTTAGAAGATTTGGAAAATATCTTTTCTATGGTAGATTCATTAGATCTAAAGTTCGACTGATAAGGTCCCATCAGTTTGTTGACAATGGGCAATTTACGAAGACTCATCTTAATCAATAAATTCAGAATACTCCGGACACATGCCACTAGATCACCTTCCTGGGTACAACAAGGGCTTGCTGCAGTCTCTTAAAATTTGCATGCTCAACCATTTCGGTCTTTTGTCTCCATATGCTTCTTGCTGCCTTCTTTCGCTCTCAGTTTCCACTAACGAGACTTGCCTTTCTCACGGTTGTAGTCGATCGCCACGTTAAGAAGCAGGCAATTTGTTTTCTCTCCATGCGGACTCGAATGTCCTCACTGTACCAGGAATCTTACTATGACATCCCACAACGCTCCTATATGATGAAGAGTGCTCTCAGAGAACAGGAGTACAAGTCAAGTAGAGAACAATACGGTTGTCTATTGAGCTTGCTAGTGTTTGTTGATGAACGTTCTTTGCTATACAGAGCCGGATGAGTATTTTTGTTGCTACAAGATAGCGAGCGATATGTTTTCTCATGCTCAGTGAATTGATTAATTTTTTTGTGATGGAATCCAGAAGGCGATCAGCCGCCACCTGTCGTGAATTTCTTTGTTCAAAGTAGGGGTATTTTTTTTTTAATTCTGTGTTATTTACTTGAAACTTAGCTTTTTAGCTTCTTTAATTTAATACTTAAACATATTTTAATGCTTGTTGGGTTCACCAAAAAACTATGGATGTTTTCCCCACGCACGTAGAAGTGGAATTTGCTTGTCTGAATTTATGAGTGGCCAACTCGTACTATGTAACGGTATTTTCTTTTCTGAATGACGCTTTTAAGCACAATTTTATTAATATCTGTAACTAAATGCCAGTGCTCACCTTTGCGCGTACATACATACATAATATCTCATGCACACAATATTACACCAATGTCTTCGTGTGCCGTTATGCAAGTATGTTAGCCTTGTGAATTTGTAAATGAGCAGTCGTAAATAAATATGACTTTGATCCATTTTGTAACGGAAGTGCAACGCCCAATTGGTAGCTTCGAGTTGTTTCCGCTGTTGCCGTTTGCTGCTCAAGTTTCTTGCCATCAGATTTGGCAGCTCCGACGTTGTGATTACTTAACTGCCAACGTATGGAGGCACGTCTTTGGACGTATGTACATACATATAAATGAGCGTCCAGCCCAAATCGCACCTCGACTGTCGGTTTGCCAAACATGCACACGGGGGTCCATGTATTATTTGCATACGAGTACGTAGCCATATACATATGTACAGTTTAGGAATTTGGCTAAGAAATGTATTCTTCTTCCTCTTCTTATTCAACCTTTGACGTCTCTACTTTATTGGCTTATCATTTTACAACATTTCTGCTGAGCTTAGTAAGTAAGTACAATTCTACTGCGACGACTACTGGCGCTTTTACCTTAAAAGCATTTGCATATTTTATTAAGTATATTCCATTCGTTATTCTTTCAGGAGGGTCGAGCATGTATGTGCTGGTGAGATGCCATGCGGAAATATTTACAGTTAGTAGGAGCTGTCACGGGAGCTCTGACCGCCAGCCACTTTCAGACCTGCTTCAGGCTACTTCAGCGCTTATCATATCCATACTCATAAATATATTCATTTCCGAATCTACATCCACTCGTGGACTACAATAGGCGAGGAGCACACAGTGTGTCTCACTTTACTAGACCAACATCGCTAATTATAAAAATTTAATCATAAATTAGTTTTTCAAATTACCGTCCATAGCCATAGCAACAGTTATCTCCATATCCTTATCTATATTCATAGCCGTATCCCCTCTCAATTATTCCCGTATCCGCATCCACTACAAAATCTGTTTTCAGGTACATATACATATCCAATTCATGTCCGTATTTATACGCACATCCGTATCCACTTTTTTATCTCTACCAAGATCCTTGTCCTTAACAGTAAACATATCAATATCCATACTCATAACTACATATATTGAACAATATTTTATTTAATTGTTGCTATCCTTATTTCATATCCATAAATACATATATCTATTTCCCAACCATATCGGTAACCATATCCGTATCCATATCCACATATATAACCTTAACCGCAACCATAACCGTAACCATATATGTAACCATACCGTACTCGTATCCACATCCATATCCTTAACACATTCCACGATAATTCAAAGCTATCTTTGGCCACACGCCAGAATTTCCCTGCTTTCTCAAATGGTTTCTTTACCCCAATGCATTTCCGACAGGGAGTTTTTGAGATAGTCCGAGACTCGGTGGTGGTCAATTTAAACCATATGCAGCCGAAACTTAGTAAATTGCACAAAATCATTTCATATGTATATGTATATGTACATACTCGTACATAGGAAATGAATTTTCAATGTACATAAATTTACATGAAAGGTTAATATTTAAAAATTCTTCAGCTTTTTGCTTATTATTCAAATAATAAACTAAAAGAATACTTAGGAATATTATAAAAATATTTACTCATAAATAGGAGTATATACTAGAAAGTATTTATGATTATTAAAAACTTAAATGAAATATCACTCATACGCAGTGGTGACCATTTCAATTATATCTATGAGTTTGATTGACTCATACGTATTTAATGGAAAACTTTCATATTTTATTTATCAAATTTAATAGTAAAATTATCACATTTATCAAAGAAACATAAATAAATTAATATTTTCCCAATTTCAACGAAAACTCAATAAATGATACAAATTTATGATTCCTCTTACCCACTCTCTCTCCGCCCTCTCTCCCTCTCTCTAACTCTCTCTCTCTCTGTATAAATCATAGCAATAAAAGCTATTATTATATTAAATAAATGCCATCAAATAAATCCAAATAATCTTATCTTTATCTTCTCTTTTCAGCCACACCAATATTAACCGCTAACATACCCATACACACACATATATACCAAGCAAACTACCAATTTAATTTGAATGTCATTAAAGTGCTAATATTTACAACCCACATTTGATAAGCTGCCAAAATAAAAATAAAAATAAAAGTAAAAATTAATGATTGAATGAATAAATACAATTCTACATTTCGTTGTGATAAATAATTGTGAAAATAGTCAGTTGAATTGAGCAACCCCCATGTACACACATAGATACAAAGTGATATTGTACATACATAAATTTGTATATCGTAGATAAAGGAACTCAAAAAAGCTGTGATCAAAGAAGGAAGACAATAGATATGAAAATGGCCTCAAATAAGCATTGAAATTATCGCAAGCGAGTACTCAGCGACCTGGTCCAGCTGCACTGATGTCAAATTAGCAAACGTTTGCTAGCAAAATCTCTGCGCAAGTAGAAGAAGCAGAAGTGTGAAAGAAACCAAGGAAAAATTTATTCACTTACCATTGAGAGACTATAATAACAAAATTGATGCAATGTAGCGGTGAGTTTGACAAATTTGAATGATTTATAGACATAACAAAGTATTTTAAGAATGTGAGAGTTTTACGAAAGCACAGAAAAAGCTCTTCAGTACTAAATTTAGAAAAGCTTTAACGTTTGTTGCTAAGAAAGTGCTGAAATTTCCTGGAAAATCGGTTGAAAGGTTATTTCGGTATTTTTGAATGGAGTTTCCAGAAGTCCACCGAAAATTCACGTGTGAATAAATGATATTCCAAATCATCCTAATAGGTTAGTTTAAGTCACTTCAGCCATCCAACTGATCTATTTCGAATTCCACTACCTCTTACCCGCCAATCAAACGAACGTGTAGAGTTTCCACGGCTGGCCAACTAACGTTTGTTGTTTAAATCTCTGAAAATCTAGGGAGCTCAAATTATTTCTTCAAAATACAAGGCATTCAAAAAAGCCGTGTGTTAGAATTTTAGGTTCACCTTCCTCTCTACAACTCCTGCAGAAGTCACTTAAACGTACGCTCAGTTTCGTTATGCGTCTGCCCAATAAGAGATTTCACTAGGGAGATTCATAATTTTGGGTATTACTTTTCTTTTTAGCGAGCTAAGCACTGATGATCTTCTTTTCTCCCACGTCAACCTCGAGACTCTTTAATCTTAAGTTGCTCGGTGGTATGACCCAACTCTTTTATGATGGCGAGAGTGGATTTGAAGTGGCCTCTACGTCAACAGTATAAGTGATTGCGACAATTCTTTATTGTTTATTCCTTTGATTTTATTGTTACAGATACCGGCGCTCTAAATGTGGCCTGACTATCCTTTGATAATCTCATGTATGCCCGCTGGAAAAATGACATAATGATCCATGAGGCGAAATGACTTACTAATGTTAAGCTCCTTTGGGTACATTCTGACGCCGACTTTACTGGCACTCACTGTGGATAAAGGAGTCACAGTCTGATCTTTTATACACTACTTTATGCACAGAAGATTCTGAGTGCATATTGTCCTTCTTTAGTCTAAGCAATTTCATCCAATTTTATCGTGTGTTTCTACAAACTCAGAGAGTAAAGTTTCATTGAAACTTATCGTCCGTTTTGCCCTTATGATGGCATTGTATCTGAAATAGGCTACACAAATCACCCACCTGAAGACGGCAGTAGTAAGATCCGCATGAGACACACTCTAGACCAAGAGCAGCCAATACTACTTATGGAAGACACCACTTATTACCAGGAGACAGTATTTAATAAAATCTGTAGGTGCTTATGTGGATGAGCTCATTTCTTTATTACAACTAAGAGAGCTTGTCTTACTAGGCTAAAACCAATTCCTAAACATAGCATAATAAACTCAGAACCAATTCACAAAATGTCTGAGGTTTCATTTGGATTGCATTAAAAGATTTATGGGCTCAAAAGCCCGCGCATTGTGTGTAACTTTCGATCCGAGTTGATTGAAGTTATTCATACTTCAAGAAGAATGAAGATGTTGCTCCAGACTACCAACTCCAGAAACCCCCCTTCCGCCGTAAGTCTTTGCGAAAAATTGTGCGTGCAAGTATCGTTTCGTTCCCCATCTAGCTGGTGTCCGATCCTGGATCGGAAATGCGATTCACTTTGAGCTTTCAAATTGCAGCTCCTCGATATGTTTTTAATCCGATTTGTGAATATTATGCATTTATGTAAACTTAAGCCACCCACCACATTTGAAGCGAAAACTAATATTTTTCATTCGATTCATTCCTTACAGTGGCGGACTTATGGTCGGCGAACGCGATAGAGACCGTGATACGGTACGCTGGGAAACGGGTGATGCAACACCGCCCCAATATAATAATGGAGGTGCGCAAATGGTCGGACAATTGCATGGTGGACAGGCTGCTAGCCAACAACAACAACAACAACAACAACAACAACAACAGCAGCAGCAGCAAAAACAGCAACAGTCTCAACGCGACTTACAGCTACAGCAACAGCATTTGCAATTGCAGCAGCAGCAGCAACAACAACAACAACAACAACAACAACAGCAAACCAGTAACTGGATTGAAAACGAAACGCTTGGTCGCAACCCAGCTGCCGGATCAACCGGTGCTGTCGGCAGCATCGGCCACATACCCACTCAGGGTTACGGCCTCGGTGTCGGCATCGGCATTGGTATCGACATCTCGCACGATCACAGCAGCGATAACAACGATAATCAAGCCTACTACGACACGAGCGGTAATGTCGATTGGGGTCGAGCGATGGGCACTGGTGGAGCTAGTTCATTTGGTTGCGGCACTGGAGCCGTACCAACAGCTGGCAATCTTGCTTATAACAATGACGCAGTTTCTGCTGCCGCTGCTATGGCCGGCGTCAATGCCAGCCAACGTAATCTCAACAATATCGGTATCGGCGGCATCGGCGGCGGCAGCATTGGAAATCTGGACTACGCTGATGGTGGCAGCATTACTGGCGCATCCGCAACAACTACGCATACTGCCGGCGGTCCGATGGGCAATGGCGGAATCAGCAGCGGTGTCGGCGGCGGCGGCGGTAGTCAAAATATCGGCGCTGGCAGTACCGGCGCTGTTGGCAAAGAAGTACGTTACGCACCATTCCCAATACCATCACCATCGCATTCGAATCCAACAACTTCCCATCTCCACGGCGGCAGTATGGGCGGTGCAGGCGCATTGCAACGCGCACATTCCAGATCCATGTCCTCCATACCACCACCCGAACCCTTTATGATAGCGCAGTCGAAACAAATGAATAGCCGCGTCTCCATCAATGTAGGCGGCGTTAAGCACGAGGTGCTCTGGCGCACACTCGAACGACTGCCACACACACGTCTCGGACGCCTACGTGAATGCACCACACACGAAGCGATAATTGAGCTCTGCGATGATTACTCCATCGTCGACAACGAGTATTTCTTCGATCGGCATCCGAAAAGTTTCAGTTCCATATTGAATTTCTATCGTACCGGCAAATTGCACATCGTCGACGAGATGTGTGTACTGGCATTTAGTGATGATCTCGAATATTGGGGAGTTGATGAGTTGTATCTGGAGTCGTGCTGCCAGCACAAGTATCATCAGCGCAAGGAGAATGTACACGAGGAGATGCGTAAAGAGGCTGAATCGTTGCGACAACGCGACGAGGAAGAGTTCGGCGAAGGCAAGTGCGCCGAGTATCAAAAGTACTTGTGGGAGCTGCTGGAGAAACCGAACACAAGCTTCGCGGCGCGGGTGAGTTCTAGCAATTGAATCAATTTATTATTCATCTGTATATCAATATATATATATCCAAATAGATAAATATATATATATATATATATCTGACTTTATATAACTACACACGTATATACTACGTATATGTAATCTCTTCTGGCCAAATAAAAACCGAATAATAATATTTTGCGTACATCTTTAGTAAGTCCCGTTTGAAACGAAAATGTTTTTGTTGTCGTCAGTATATTTCTCGTATTTCTATCTCCCTTATTTATATTTCTTACTGCTATCTGTTTTTAAATATTTATTAACTTATTTTCTTTTTTGTCTTAATTCTGTTTATCTGTTAAGTTTTTCCTTTATTTATTGTACATTTAGTTTTTTGAGTATTCTTTATAGGTTTCACATAACTTTTAAGCAATCTCATCACATCGATTTATTTAAGTATTTACGCCACTATTATTTAATCACATATGCATAAGAAAAATGGATAACTATCAAGCGATAAATTGGTTTATTTTGCGCCAAATACAGAGATAGTTTTTGAAAGTGAGCTCTTCACTGGTTTTTGTGGTTTTGTAATAAAAAAAAATTATTAAAAGCAAATTGAATCAATCAGCGCGGGTTCACTTGTCCTCGTTCTCTGATAATGTGGAAATGTATATTTTTAAAATCGCTAAACATTGCAAAAACTTACAGGGAAATGTAGTGTAACGAATGTTAAATAAATTTCACTTTACACTGATTTTGTCATCAACGAGTTTACTTTGTAAGTGACAAGCCGCTGTATTGGCTCTCTTCGTATATACCTATCGCAATGCTCGCACTCAGCTCTGGAAATTACTTACGATGTCTTCTTATGATATATAGAAAATTTGATTATCGCCCTTTAGAATTTGGTTTACTTAACGGTATTATCGATGCTTAATGGCTAACTTATGTTACGTTCACAATAAACCACATTCTTTTAATATGTTTAAAAGCAAACGAAAGACGCTTTATTAAATTTGCTAACGCGTGGTCTTTTTCTGTTCAGAATCATAAATCTGATGCAAAAACTTTCATTCTAAAACTGCTGACGTCGAGAGATTTTAATTATATTTTAATTATCAATTGCCTACTCAGTCCAAAGTAGTACCGGTTTGGGAAGAGTGATTCTGCGTTGGATATCCAGAATGACTTTTTAGTTGGTATTAATGCAGGTTCCAAGAAACGCTTCGCTTTACCATCCAGTCTGGAGAAGAAATACTCAATAAATTTGTAAAGTTTTTCGATTTTTACGACTGATATTACCATAAGAGCCTTCTGAATAGAAAACAAGTCGAATTCAAGTACTCAACTGCCTATTCAAAATAGATAAAAATAATGAACCTGTTGGTAAGCACATCACAAGCAGTTGGCCTGAACAACCACTCAGCAAAACCACAAAAATTAGAAAGATTAAGGTTTTCTAAAAATTTTCATTATACTTTTTGCTATAAAAAAGCCAAAATTATAGAGATACATATTAAAAAAAAAAAAATTATAAAAATTCAGTTGTTAGGAATAATAAATAAATTTTACTGCCCAGAAATACAAATTAAATAACTAAAGAGAAATATTAGTTATTTTTAAAAATAAATAAATAAATTTAATCGCTTAAGAATATCGCTGAAATAAATACTTATACATACACACATAACAATTAAAGCTGTAAATTACCGCCTCAGTCAACACAGAATCACATAATTAGATTCGATCAATCACATTATCACTTTTATTAGTTTTTAAGTGATTTATTTTTTATTACTACATGCAGTGCTTTATGAACACCATATACACACACATACACATATTCGTCTATACTAAGTGTCATTGGACAAAATACTCGTACATAACTGCATATTTCTAAAGCTACCTACATGTTAACTTGATGTTTCTCGGCTTTGTTGTGTTTGTTGTGCGAATAAGATTGTTAACATACAGACAGTTATAAGAAGAAAAAATTAAAAGGAGTCAAAAAAATATGGCAATAAATAACAATGCTGCAAAACTCAATAAATATTTACAATATTTAATAAAATATTGCGTTAAAAATTGTTTTCACGGTTATGAAAGTTTGAAAAGGAAATGATTTTGCAACAATAAATGAGCGCTGTAAATAAAAGCAAATTTTAATATGCATTCTTTTGCTCTTAGCGAACATACATACATATGGTATACATATATGAAATAACAGATACTTTGCAACTGATATTATATATCTCTCGACTGCAGCTTACATACATACCTATATGCATACATATCATACGTTTGCCAAATGCCGTTTTTAACGTTCGTTTTTGATGTTTCAAGAAATTTGCGGGGCGTCAAGCATAAAGTTTTCTTAAAAAAAGTTTCAATATGTGTGTTGTTTCGAAATAACATACATATATTTGCTTAAGAAATTTTGTTTCATTTGCCTTCCACTTGCTGGTGAAGAGAGTGTTTTGCGAATTGCTGATGTTTAACTAAGAAAAAACTCAACGTTTATATTATATATGTATATATATATATGTGTTGTTTGAACGTATTTTTCTTAACGGTTATGCAATATTTCTATATATACTTTATACAAAAAAAAGTTCTAAATTGCTTGGATATAAGAAAGCTTTCGTTTTTGATGTTTTTTCAGCAAAATTCTATGTATAAAATTTTCGAAATTTAATTCCAAACTACAATTTTGATTTGAAAAAAAAAACCGTTAATTAGCGTAGGTTTTGTGATTTCTGCGCAAACTCAAGTGTGAACCAAGAGGTTGGCATACTCGTATAAGCACTTCGTGCTCTCAGATAAAATATAATTTTTGAATGTCAATTTTAAAACCAATTAAATTGCGTAAACTTCTACGTAAACTCAACAATATTTGTAACTGAAATCATCAATAATTGTAGCCACGACTGTGTTCCTTGATCTCATTATGTTTCGACTGCATTCTGCTCTCAATTCAGAGTTCCTGCCTTGAACTCAGTTAGGACTACAATCGCCTGCTTAAACTGTATACTCTCAGGCATTTAAACGATATATAATAACACTTGTCTCTTTATCCTCTTCAACTGCCGCTTACAAGCCTGGTAACGCCTTCGCTTTAGAACTCAACAATTCTCAATATACTTACAATTGTACATTTAATTGTTGTCATCATCATGTTATTTAGAAAAAATCTTTATGTTACTATTTATTTATTTAATAATTTTCTTTCTATAACTGTCGTGGAATAATTTTAAAAATTTACTATTTTATTTAGAACTTGTTTATTTATTTTTACTTTAATTTTTCCCAAATTTGCTTTTATGTCTAAAATTATTTCTATCCACCCTGTTTTTAATCAGCAAAAAAAAACAACATGTGAATATTTCACTTAACTGTATTATTTAACTACTTATATATCAACAGTGTTCTTTTTCTAGCAAAAAAAATGTACATATATATATATGTATGTATTTTTTGTCTCTAGTCAGCCAGGTGAAGAGATGGAAAGAAAGCGAGGAAAATTATCAAGTCTTGCCACTAATCAAGAAAATTTGAATTTCGAATTTGAATTTGAATTTGAAATTGAACAAATATTATGTATTTAATATTTAATTTTTACTAATTACTTTTCTATTAATCTAATTACATATATAGTAAATACACAGCACGTGCGATCTAAAAAAAAAACGTTCAAGTGTTGCTGCTTTGCAAACAAAATCTTTATCCAACTAAAAAATAAAAAAACAAAAAAGTAAAAAAAAACCGAATACCAACCAATAACCATGTTTGGGAATGGGCAATAAGCGATATGACCAGGCGGCAGGTGTGCTGTAGAAATCCTCGAAATAAATTTTTACACACAAGAACTCTGGGGAGAAGTGGCCAAATAGGTGTTGTAATACATTTCCGCTTTCGTCTAATGCATAAATAGCCAGTCCAGCCAATCAAACCAACCGCCACCCAACTCAACCAATCGATCAACCATGCTTTGCTTGAAGTACCACCAACCGAATCGCACACCATGCATTCATATGTAAATAATGCATATACTTAATGTCCAAATAATTAGGTTTCTCTAATTTCTTCCAAAGTACATATGTAAATAATAACTGTCTCTTCGTGCTTCGTGCGAATCATTAAACATATATATGTATATGTATGAACTCAAGCGCTTCAAGCATCAGTCTGCTCTGCCTCTGCCATTGCCTCTGCTTAGTATATGTAAAGTACAGTTTTTATTTGATTTTTATTTGTTTTTTGCTTAAAGCGGAAATAATTACAACACATTTGGGGACATCTCTTACAATTTTTCACCACTTTCTATGTGTCATTTTTGGAAATCTTAGTTCGAGTTTTATTTACATGAAAGCTCTTTAAAAGGATTTTTATTTGAAATATATATATAATTTTTATTTTGAACAAGTTCATTAACACTTTCGCCGTAAACGATGTTAAATTTGTAGTTGATGGATGTAGAAGTAAAACAAATATTTTTTATATATGTAAATGTTGCGTACTTTATTAACTTGTTGTGTGTTTTTTAAAAAATGTCATACATATTTATGTCTTACGCCCGCTAATGTATTCGAAAAGATTGCCTTCAAAACACTAGCTTTTAGAGAAGACATATTGCGCGAACTGAAAGTCTTATTATCCCCGCTAATGTGTTTTCACACCATGAGCTTTCAATATTACACGATGAGGCTTTGAATGGTTCCCGAAAAGCTTGGGATTTCACGCTAAGATGTTTTCACACCATGAGCTTTCGGTATTTCACGATTAAGCTTTGAATGGTTCCTAAAAAGCCAAATTAAAATTCATAAAATCCTTAAAAATACGATTAGATGTATCAAATAATTTTAAGAATTTTAAACTAATTTTAAACTAATATATGCTCGCAAATACTTATTGAAAAATATTTTTGAGAAATATTTACAGAAAGAGTATACGCATAGCGTAGGGAGAGAGAATTTCTCATTGCCGATTTATGACTGACTTGCATTGTGTGTCAAATAGAAGGTAGGCAT